AGGAGAAATTTCCTGACATTTGAAACAATTAATCAGTGGAACAGAAGTTGCCTCCAGAAGTTGTGAATGCCCCAACACTGGAAGTCGTTGGATAGCCATTTGTCTGAAATGCTATAAGGTTTTCTGCCGGAACGGGGTTGGACTAGAAGACCTCCGAGGTCCCTTCCAACTCTGTTATAAACAAAATTAAAAATAGACGAACGGAGCGTTGGATAATGTCAGATCTGTCCCGACTTAGACATTTAGGAAATAAAACCCCCACAATTCCATTTGTTTGTTAAGTAAGGTCCTTACTTAAAGCAGTTACAGCTGGATCTGACTATTAGCCGAACGAAGGTTGCTGTTTTCCCCTTCCTCTGACCCCCCCCCCCCGACCCATTCCCTCGGGGCTCAATCTTGTTCCCTTCTGATGTTTTGGGAACAGCTTTGAAGGCCGGAGCTGCTCTCAGGGTTCGTCCTTGGCAGCTGCCCTTATTCTGGTTTGACCTCCCAAGCTTCTTATCAGCTTGCCTCCTCCCCTTGGTCTTCCCATCCCCCCATGCCTGATCCTTACTTCCCCAAATCCCTTTCCCCCCCCCTCCTCCCCTCTCCCTACCCAACCCTTGCATTTCATGGCAGGATGCCAGAGAAGGGAAGAAGCTGGGGGTGGCCAGCCTGACGTTAACCCTCAGGGCAGATGGGCCTAGATAAGGCCTTTGCATCTTCAGAGGTTCAAGCTGCCATTTCAGATTTTTAAGCCACAGTCTCAGGAAAGCTAGAATGTTTGGAGACATTCTGTTTTGGGACACGGAACAAAATACGAATCCCTCCACCCCACCGCAGTACAGGGATCATGGCGTTTTCCAGTGACTTCCTATTTTGTTTTTGCTTTTTTTAATTCGTTTAGAAACCTTGCAAATCAAGTAAATAATGATAGATACCTCTTGGTTATTGGGAAATCTAAAACCACGATACAGGTAGTTCTCGACTTACAACAGTTCGTTTAGTGACTGAAGTTACAACAGCGGTGAAAAAATGGACTTCTGTCCATTTTTCACACTTACGACCATTGCAGCATCCGCAGTGATTATGTGACCAAAATTCTAGATGCTTGGCAACTGACTCATATTTACGACAGTTGCAGTGTCCTGGGGTCACACGATCTTGTGTCTTTCTGTCAAGCAAAGTGGGTGGGGAAGCCAGATTTATTTAACAACCAGGTTATCAGCTTCACGGATTCAACTATTCACTTAACAAACTGTGGCAAGAAAGGTTGCAAAATGGGGCAAGGAAGCTGACAACTGTCCCCTTCAGCAAACAGAAACGTTGTGGTCGTAAGTCGAGGACTACCTGCAAGTGGACTTNGGTCTTCTAGTCCAACCCCCTGCCTAGGCAGGAAACCCTATACCGTTTCAGACAAATGGCTCTCCAACATCTTCTTAAAGACTTCCAGTGTTGGGCCATTCACAACTTCTGGAGGCGACTTCTGTTCCACTGATTAATTTTCCTCACTGTCAGGAAATTTCTCCTTAGCTCTAAGTTGCTTCTCTCCTTGATTAGTTTCCACCCATTGCTTCTTGTCCTGCCCTCAGGTGCAGGAGACTCCCTCTTCTTTCTGGCAGCCCCTCGGATATCGGAAGACTGCTATCATGTCTCCCCTAGTCTTTATTTTCATTAAACCAGAAATGCCCAATTCCTGCAGCCGTTCTTCACCCCAGGGTTGCAATTTTTGGCAGCGATCCCACCTATCGGCATTGACGTAGATTCATTGCAACCTAGAATTAAGATGAAAATTTCAGGACAGTGAGAACAATTAACCAGTGGAATGGAAGTGGTGGGGGCGCCATTACTGGAGGTTTTCTTGAAAACTGGACTGGGCAACCATTTTGTTTGAAAAGGGATAGGGTCTCCTATTTGAGTAGCGGGTTGGACTAGAGCAGGGGTGTCAAACTCAAGGGCCGGGCCCCAGATCTGGTCCGCCAGGTGCTTAGATCTGGGCCGCGGAAACGGAGTGCAGCCCTCCCAGGCTCCCTTTTCGCTGGCAGAGGGTTGCAGGAGGCCATCGCAGCCAGAACGGAGCTCGGGAGCTCTTTTTCACTAGCAGCCCACCACAGCCCCCTCCCCAACACGGGGGAGGCCGAACTGAGCCCTCAAGGTCAAAGACAGCCCTGATGTGGTCCTCAATGAAGTCGAGCTTGACACCCCCCACCCCCCCAGAGGAGTGGATCTCCACGGTCCCTCCGGGCTCTGCTATCCGGAAGAGAGCTTGCTGCCTCTAGGAAACGACCAGAATCTCTCTCTGCTGCCCCTCCCCCCAACCATCCTCCAGGGACCATCATGTGCTACGGGCAGACTGGAGCCGGCAAGACCTTCACCATGACGGGGACCACCGTAAACTTCAAGCACCGGGGGATCATCCCTCGGGCTATCCAGCAGGTGCCTCTGATATTTGTTTGTTTATTTATTTATTTCTTTATTTATTTATTTATTTATTTATTTATATATTTATTTATTTGTATATTTATATGTGCACTTATTTGTATATTTATATATGATTGAATGAATGAAAGAGAAAGAAAGAAAAAGAAAGAGAGAAAGAAAGAAAAGAAAAGAGAATTTGCATTGCCATTCAACTCAGTGCAACTTGTAACTGCGAATAGAAGTTAAATTTAAAAAATCAATAAGCCCCCACCCCCAGTGACAACGGTCAAACCAGGGGTGGGTTCCTGCCAGTTCTAACCTCTTCTATAGAAGAGGTTCCACAAATCTACCGTGCCGTTTAGAACCCTCTTCCAGCTCCCTGTCCGCACCAGGCTTGCTCCGCCTGCCATTCACTGATTGGCTGGCTCACCAATCGCCCCACCCGCCTCCAAGAGTTCTATCTTAAAGTCTTAAAGCTATCAAGTTTAAACATCCCTGGAGGTTTTTTTCTAAAGGGTTAGGGGTGAAAGGGTCTTGTAACTTGACAGCTTTAAGACTTGCACACTTCAATGCCAGAGTCCCTGAGCCAACATTTTGGTTGCTAAGCAAGAGCGTTGTTAAGTGAGTTCCACCACATTTTACAAGTTGGCCACGCCCACCCAGTCACATGGCCGGCAAGCCACTCCCACCCAGTCACATGGCCGGCAAGCCACTCCCACAAAGTAGGCCACACCTACAGAAGAGGGTCCAAAAAAATTTGAAACCCACCACTGAGTCAAACCCACCATTTGATAGGCTCCATATCATCGTGGGGTCCCACTTAGACACAAAAGGGGACTTTGGGCCAATCACCAGGAGACGGTGAACTCTAGTCCTGCCTTAGGTGCGAAAACCAGACTTTGGGCAAACCCCTCTCTCTCTCTCTCTCTCTCAACCCAGCCCACCTCACAAGGTGGTTGTCGTGGGGGAAATGGGAGGAGGAAGGAGTATTAGGCATGTTAACCCCTGCCTTGAGTTAATCACAGAACAAAGGCAGGAGAGAAACGTAGGTAAGCAGGTAGATAAAATTCACTCCCCTTTCCCTCCAGGTGTTCAAGTCCATGGAGAAGCATAGCAATCAGTTTATCACCGTCCGGATTTCTTACCTGGAGATTCACAATGAGGTCATCTCGGACCTCCTCCCCTCCCTCGGCTCAGAGAGCGACCTCCCGTTGTCCATAGTGGAGAGCCCCCACGGGGTCTCCGTCAAGGGCCTCTCCATCCATCCCGCTCCCAACGAAGAAATTGCATTAAATCTCCTGTTTGAGGTAAGGGGACCCACCCTCTCTATTTATTCTCGTGATTTGTTTATTAAATTCACGGTGGCCGAGGGGCCTGATTTCCCATCACCTGATTCTGGGGAACATTGCAACAGTTGTTAAGCGTGAGGACTGGCTGTAACTCTCTTTTTCCAGTGCCGTCATTAAGCGGTCGTAAGACGAGGACTACCCGTGTTGCATTTTTATGCACTTTGGGGCTATTGGGTAGCGAATACTTTTTTTAATTCCACTTGGGGAAGCGATCCTGAATCAGCGAATCTTCTCGCTGCCTCTTTTATTCCCTTTTCTCTTCTAGGGCGACACCAACAGATCTGTGGGTCAGCATGCCCTGAACAAGCATTCCTCCAGGTCTCACTGCATCTTCACCATCTACATCGAGGTCAGCCCCACTGAGAATTGGCTCGATGCCCCGTGGCTGAAGACTCAGCAGCCTGCGTGATTCAAGGCATCGTCGTTGTTGTTTTTAAAAAACAAACACGCCCTTATCAATTCTTATCTCTCGCTTCAGTGTCACTCGAGGATCGTTTCTGACGCCAGATACGTCACTTCCAAAATTAATCTGGTCGACCTCGCGGGCTCGGAGAGGCTGTCGAAAAGCAAAGTGAGAAAATAAAAGTCACATTTTGAGTTCCGCGAAGGGGATTTTAAGCCAAGGGCAGCGGGCAGTCCTCGGCTTAACGGCCAAACCCGAGCCCAACATTTCGAAGATGGTTGTTAAATGAGCTTTGCGCCATTTGACAACCTTGTCTTGCCACCATTAAGTGAATCCCTGCTGTCGTTGAGTTAGCGATTGCAGTCGTTAGACTAATCCAGCTTCCCCATCGAGTTTGCTGGTCAGACGGTCGCAAAAGGGGAATCACGTGACCCCCCCCCGCCCCAGGGGACACTGCGACCGTCATAAAAGTGAATTGGTTGCCACGTGTATGAACCGCGATGGTCCTAAGTCTGGAAAAGAGTCGTAAGTCATGTCTTTCAGTGCCATTGTAACTTGGAAAGGTCACTAAATGAACTGTTGTAAGCCGAGGACCTGTGGTGGTATTCAGTCAGTTCGGACCGGTTCGAGCGAGCCGGTAGTGGTGACCTGCGGCATAATCCTGGCACTATGCCGCCCTATTGAGCCACATTTTCTAAGCCGCACACATGTGTGTAAGACGCATGTGTGAGCAAACCACATGCACGGAAGCAGAGGTGGGTTCCTAGCAGTTTGGCCGAGTAATTAGTAACTTGGCCTCCACACACGCACACACACATACGTACGTACCGGTTCTCTGGTCACCGCCGCCATCTTGATTTTTGATTCTGCGCATGCGCAGAACAATCTTCATTGCAAACATGTAATTCACACACACACCCCCGTGATGGGTTTCAAGAATTGTTCGAACCTACTCTGTGGGTGTGGCCTCCTTTGTGGGAGTGGCTTGCCACCCATGTGACCAGATGGGAGTGGCTTGC